TACTTCCAAAATTAATTAAATTCCTTCATTATCGTGATATATGAACAAACATTGCATAAAAACGTAGTTAATAAATCAAATTTTAATATATACATTTTACTTTCTTAATTTTACAAAGAAATATTTTAAAATTCCTTATTTTCCCTTGGTATGAGAATTGTGACATTTGCTCTCTAGGTCTTCCATCTTCTCTAATTTATTTACCACCCCTCCACATTATAATGATTACTCATACAAAACATAATTTTTGTAGCCTTCAATTTTATTTGTTTATGGAGCCTTAAACTAGAAAATCTGACCCACTTTCCATGTCCACCTGGCACATCCTCTCTTGCACAAATTACAAATATTTCTCTGACACTTAATACTATATTGCTTATAACCAATAGAAAGCCAGTTTTAATCTATCAAATGGCATATTGCATTACATTATTGTACAGAAAACTGTCTATTTCGTTTTCAGTTTAAATTTTATTCCCACAGTGAGCTTAGCTGAATTTTTAACAGCTCTTATTGCATAGTTAGAAAGCCAGAAAAATTATGATAGGTACAGGACATTGGTTGGTTTTTACGTGTTATTATTATGTGTTGTTAGGTGCATTATTTAATTTAAAAAAATGTATTGCATTAATATCATTAGTATAAAAAAAGTGGGTTTAAGTTTCATTGATAGTGCACAGCAAAGAAAAAAAGAAGACCCATGAAAGTACTACATTTATTGTTTTTTTGTGTCTATTCTTTCTTTATTATTATAAAGGTAACTAAAATGGAAATTTTGGAAACTTTTTAAGTTAGATTAGGTAATATAAAGAAGAAAAAAATGTTTTACAAAGTATGCTTGCAAGTAGCTTGTGTGTGATGCAGTTTGATAGGGTAACATGAGCTACACATTTGCTGAGTGATTTACAATTTGTGTGGTGGGATTATTATTATACATGGTTCAAAGGGCAATAAAATAATAACATTTAAATAGAAACAGATGTATACTGTCACAAGCTTTAAACTATTTAGGATAAAAAAAATCTGGTTTCCTGTTACAATTGCAAATCATTCTAGAAAGGAAAAAAGTGTAATACAGATTTGTTTCATAATTTTTTGGGTGGTTCTTGAGGTCAGATGATATGACCAACCTTGAATAGAGTTAGGGTAGAGAAACTAACAAATAAAATATAAAAAAAGACATGGTGAAAAAAACGTTTGAAAGTTATATAAAATGCTTTGGAAACTACTCAAATGAAATCTGACAATTTTCTGGTGAAGAAAAGTATTTCTAACCTTAGCATGAAACTCACTTTGCACTTGGAGCAGTCACCACATACATTCACAGAGAAATTTTAGTAAAATTACTCCATTAAAAATTCTGATTTTTTTTTTCTCCAAAAGGCTTGTAATGCTTATTGAAAGCTTGTAAAATTTCATGAAGATACATAAAACATATTAGGAGTTATAGTATGATAACTCTGAAGAATAATTTGGGGTCACAAACTTGGTCGAATTGACCGAGTACATAGCAAGTGAGTTAAAAGAATAAGTAAAATTAACTTGATCTGCAGAGGTGATGGATAAAAAGTTAAAACATAGAAGAAACTTCAACAGCAAGTCTCAACTCTTTCAGAAGAGAAATGAGCCTTTTCTCTACGAAGACAGAAACTGCCAAAATTGCATTCATAATGCACATTTCCTCTGTAGCTGATCAATCAGAAAGACAAATCAGAAGAATCGAGAAGTATCTTTGCTCCTTAGGACAGTTGTAAGGCAATCTTTTACACACAGAAGGTAAAGCAGAATACAATATGGCTATCCCATGAAACATTAGTTAGCTTTTGTGATTGGATATTACTGTGGAAAGTAACATATCAGGGCAAATTAAGCACAATTTCAACTGTATTTGTATGTTCTGAATCGGAATTTTGAAAAATTTCAAATATTTTGTACAAATGAAATATATTAATAGAAGAGTAAGGTGCCTAGTATTTATATGCTACAAAAGTTTATTGCTGGTTTTACAAGTCAGAAACCTTAAAAAGTGGGAAAAATTGTTATACTTAGCTAGACCATCTGACAGTATTTTGAACAAGTACTTTGTTGAGAAATTACCACTATATTCACAATTCTGTGTTTTACTTTGGCTATCACAGTTTAGTTTTATATTTTCTTTATGATATCGTCAGGTCTGCAGCATTCCCATTTGTTTAACACCTCCCTTGAGCAGGATTATACCCAAGACCTCGTACATTCAAACAAGTACTATACCAACTGAGCTAAAGGTTAACCCCATAACTATAACTTTTTAACAACTCAAACTACCACACATACTAAAAAGAAAATGCTTTTGAAAAATCAAAGCAAAAAGGGAATAGTTCAATAGTGTAAACTATGTGGTAAATGTGAGCCGCTAAATACAAACTTTCTGTTGTAGTTGTAGTAGCTTTCGTTAATAGCATTGAAAAGCAACAGTAAATATAAATTGAGGCTTAGAAACTATTTATTAGATTTATTTAGCCATTAATACTTTAGCACTTGTGTAGTTAGCTTTGATATCCATTTATAAGAGATATAATCAGTGGTCATTGGCCAAAGATAACAAGGTAATTAATAGTTAATACTGTAACAGAAATATTGACCTTAATTAAGTCAAAACCTTCTTGTTTATAACTCTATATTGGAATTTTTTTTTAGTTTGATTAATATACTGAATAGAAGTGAAAATCAATGATTCATTTATATAAAGGTTACAAAAAAGTGTTGAAACAGTAGAGAAGGAAAGTCAACAGATTATTTTTTAAACATTTCAGTATGAATCTCTTCAGGTTCAGTTTTAAGTGAGGCTTTAAATATTTTTATAAAACAAATATTAGACACTCCTGATTAAATCTAGATTACATTGTTACTGACTGATTGTAGCACCATTTACCATATAACATTTTTATGTATATAATTTAAAATCACTCCATTGGGGAGTGATGAGTCACAATCACAAGGTTTTAAATCTATGTGCTAAGTTAGATTGTTTAGTGTACTTTTGTCTCTTAGTTACACAATACACGTGTTTGAAAGTAAAACAAAACACATCATAAATATCAGTGAAGTACACTAACTACAGCAGTAACTTATGAAAAAATTAAACTAATGAATACTTTAAACATATGCACAGTTTTATTTTTAAAAGCAAAAATTTACACAGTCAGAATATTTTGAATTGGTTGAATCTGCTTCTTTTGCAGGAAGCAGCTATAGTGATCAAGTGACATGCTTGGCCAAAAAACATTTTAACTAACTTGATCATATTTTGTACATGCATATTAACCAAAATAAGTACTTTGTTGAGAAATTACCACTAAGTGTTTGACTTACTTTGGGTATCACATTTTATTTTTATTTATGATATTGTCAGGTCTGAGGTTGTGCGATTCATGCCCTGTCACAAACCAAAAAACAGAAATGCACACTGGGGATGTGGGTGCATTATAAGAGTGATTATCAAATCCTGCTGTTCAGTCTGACAAGAACAACTCAAGAGTTGAGAATGAGTGGTGCTGACTAGCTGCCTTCCCTCAGCTAGTACAGTTAGCCCTTAATTGGCTTTGTGCAAAGTGCAACAAGCAAACAAACATTTTAAAATTGTGTTTTCATAATGCAAAAAAATATATTAAGAATTTTCAGTCTACCTACTTAATGAATTTATGTAAGTATAAAAAAAATTATGAAAAAAATACTTATCAGGCCTTAATTTTTTAATTTTATTTATTTTAAGTAACACAGTTTTATAGTTTTGACTTTCTTGTGTCAATGCTTTTCGTAGCATTATTACTATAGGTTATATATATATATATATATCGATCCCTACTTGTCTTTATAGAATTTGAATTTTTTTTGTGTGCCAGCAGTACCAAGCATGAGGCAACAGTGTTTACCGATTAGATTTTATTACTCACCAGTATCTCTACCAACCTGCCCTCAACTCTAATTGTATGCCCAAAGTAGCGCATCATCTGTTTTGAATATATGTATATATATATACATACATACATACATATATATGAAAGAGTTCTGGGAAAGAATTTGAGGAACAAGTTTGGCATTTTATCTGTTTGCTTGTCTAGAAAAGTCACTTATTTACTTACTTAGAGGAAAATTCTTTGATCCACTCCATGAACACTTGTATAGTGATTTAGGTGGCTATATAAGTACAATAAGCTTTAGTTTTGCTCAGCCAATACTGTGAAATAGCCATTGTTGATATTTTAAAGGTGGATTAAATGAGCAATTTTTATGGCTGCAATTTTGTTTCATCAAGATCCCTACTATTAAGTACTACCATAATTAATGATGACATACTTAGCTGTACTATGATAATAAATGTTATATCAGTTATTTATTCTGTATTCTTGTACATGTTCCATAACAGTAACAAGACTTTCTGAAATTTTTTTTTAGTGAAAGTTAAGATAGACTTTCCCCATTACAGTTTTTTCCAGTGATATAATAATTTTTATAGAAAGGCTATATTAATTCATGTTATGTTGTTTTTAGATTTTAAATTTGTCTGCAAAATCCTCCAATAGAGATGTCCTTATCTATATGACATATTCCCCTACCAAGGTGGGCTAAAATGTACCCAGCAGGTTAGTTATCTAGGTATAATGTGTTTCTAAGAGTGGGTTTTCAGAGATATAGAATGCAAGTCTGGTATCAGATTTTTTATTTTTTTCTGGGTCTCTTTGAGATTTCAGGAATGCCATTCCCAAAACTGTATGCATACCCCCTACTCAAAAGCTAACTAGACCAAACATGGTACACATGCTCAGGTACCATGGGTGAGTGTCCTAACAAGGTTTTGGATCAGTACAGTGGGGCCTCTAGGAATCATGAGAGAGTCTTTGAATCCCGCAGTGGAGTGTAAGTATTTAATGTGAATTTTAGTTACATTGCCAATTCTTGATTTCAAAAATATGTACTGTTAATTGTTGTGATGACATTGAAAAAAATCTTCTGAAAAGGTGGTCCAGAGAAGGGAAGATCCCACTTTATGATGCTTACCATTACCTACCAGCAAGAATGAAACTTCAATGGTTTGATTGGAACTCACTGGATTTGGTAAGTTATATCGTGAACTACTATTTCTGTATTGGTTAGAAAAGTATATTTTAACCCTCACATTAATAATTATATTCATACCATTCAGTATACATAAGGTTCACATACTACATGATAGTGAGTTGTTGTTTTTTCCTGTTACAACATTCAATATAAAAATAAAAACTGGCCAAAGCATCTTTTATTTCCAAATGTTCTTTTAGTGCATATATATATATATATATATATATATATATTGAAAATATTGTCGATGTATTTCCTCTTAATTTCTTATAGGCATGCATTAGTATAAATTTGCCATGTAGTGCACCACTTTGTACCTGATAAAAATGTAGTAGATACCTATTTATTATGTAATCTCAGTCTCAGCAACATTTGTCTTTAGGGCAAGAAAATGTGTCATGTGTGTACTATTAATTGTATGCAATATTAAGCAACCTTGATTTTGTATGAGACACTAAGAGTAGAAGTAACATTTCTGAAATAGATGTTATTATAGGCTAGCATATGATATACTGATATAATGTATTAATGAAGTTTTCTTTTATATACATACTGTAGGATTTCTCAAGAATTCATATATAGACTACCAAAAAAAAAGTGCATTACATATTAATATTTTGTGAATTTTATAAACTAGACTTTTTTGATGCCCAAACTATTAAGATATTTTTGTTAATCATTCAAAAATATAAAAAATGAAACATGTAGCTAGTATGACAGTAATAGAGTTTCTTAAGGAGGCAGGGTTACAGCAGTTAGCACAGTTGGTATCCTATAGCATAGAGTGTATGAAAAGATGTACGTTTATATTACAAAGTTTAAGCTCACCAACATGTCCATCTGCACTTTAACTCTTTCCCTACGAAAGACGTGCACATGTCACAAGCTCTATATAGAGTTACATTCAAAATTTAATTAAACTACCTTATTATCAGTGTATATGAATAAACTTGGCATCTAAATGTAGTTTATAAATCAAATTTTGATATAAATTTTAAGTTCTTAATATTACAAGAAAATATTTTAAAAATCCTCAATCTCCCATAGTATGAGAATTGTGACATATCTCTGTAGATCTTCCCTCTTCTCTAATTTATTTACCACCTCTCCTAGAAGTACAGGATTTAATATAATATAGTTATTACTCATGCAAAGCAAAATTTTTATAGCCTTCAACCTTATTTGTTTACAGAGTCTTAAACTAAAAAAAACTACCTGTCACATCTTCTTTTTCACAATTTGCCATTAAATTTCTCTGATGTTTAATATATTATTATTTATAACCAATAGAAAACCAAAGTTTTAATCTGTCAAATGGCATATTACATTACCTTGTTTTCTGTACAGGGAATTCTCTATTTTGCTTCCAGTTGAAACCATTACCACGCAAACACATTGATGAGCTTAGCTGAATTTTTAACAGCTCTTATTGCACGGTTAGAAAGCCAGAAAAATTATGATAGTTATAGAACATTGTGTGTTCTTCAGGTGTTATTATTCTGTTTTCTTAGATGCAGTACTTATTTAAATAAAAATAATAATTAGTGTAGAAGTACCACTAGTATATAAAAAAGTTTGCTTAACTTTCATCGACAGTCAACAGCGAAATAAGAAGGCCTAGGGAGGAATTAAAATTCTTGTTTTTCATGTGTATTCTTTATTTATTATTATAAAAGTAACTAAAATGTAAAAATTAGAAACTTTTAAAGTTAGATTAAGTAAGATAATGAAATAGAAAATTAGTTATGAGGTAAGCTCTGAAAAAATGTTTGATATTTATTTAGGAGGTTTTAGGGATTATGCAAATGAAATTTAAAAATTTTCAGATGAAGAAAAACATTTTCAATCTTAACATAAAAAATCACTTTGCACTTGGAGCAGTCAGCACAATTTTAGTAAGAATACTTAATTAGAGATTCTGATTTTTTGTCTACGAAATACTTAATGTTTACTGAACTCTTGCCAAACTTCATGAAGATAAATTAAATACTTTCAGAGTTATAGTATGTATACCACCATAGTTATAAGGTGGTTACAAGGGCATGTAAAATACACGAGCTGCTTGCGATATGGTTAAGTGTATTATATTGTCACTAAATTTGAGACTTGGTTAAATGTTTATTAAACTAACATTTACAGCTCGGCTGGGTATGTCCTGATATTTAGCATACCTGATCTGTTACTGAGGATTTATGGTCAATGATCTGTTGCTGGTTAACCATTTTGCTACTGCTCTGGTGGATTACACCAACCATGTGACCCCAAAGTGATCATCAGAGTTTTCATACTATAATGTTTAACTTGTTTTGTATATCTTCATGAATTTTATCAAGTTTTTAGTAAACATTATAAGTCTTGAGTTGACAAAAAAGACCGAATTTTTAATAAAGAATTTTTACTAAAAATATGCCCATGAATATATGGAATCAGAATGTTGATTGCTCCAAGTGCAAAGTGATTTTAAATTTATGATTAAAAACACTTTTCTCCATTTGAAAATTACCATGTTTCATTGTGTAATGTCTAAAATCTTTTAAATAGATATAAAATGTTAATTTGTACAAAAACTTTATATTTCATTTGTTATTTTCTTTACCCTAATTCTATATGCTATCAGTCAATTTGACCAAACTCGTAACCACCATACAAAAACTGTGAAATATAGTGTATAGTACTGGTCTATCTTTGTCACATCTATTTTCTACATGACACCATTGATAGTTATTGACTTCCACAGAATTTGTCATAATCTTGGCTCCATGAACACAATGGGAGAGGATTTATTGGCTTGTTTATAGTACAGTTGCTGCAACAAGAATTGTCTAAAATAATAAAAGTGCAAGAAAATATTTATGGTATGGCTCTGCTGATCCAATAAACTTGGTAGGTACTTGGATATTGTCCTCCTGGGGTGGTCAGAATTTTTAATTATTTTTCTTAAAACGTAGAACAATAAATAAATAATACATAGGAAAACAATGATTTCTATTACTTATGATGTTACAAAATTGATTTGCATTCATGTGTTCTACTTGCTTAGTCTCACTGTAAATCTTTTTATTCTTTCAAGTGGAGGGTGAAAACAAATTGATTTTTGTAGATTTCAGAAATGCATTTTCGAAAATCAAAAAGTTATCAAATTACTATACTGGGACACAAAATATTGTTGCAATGTATCTTACTTTTTAACTGAGTTATATGTGACTTTAAAAAAATATCATTTCTGTTCAGACCAATGACATTTCCAGTGAAACTCCAGCTTTCTCCTTCAAGCAAATTAAAAATGACTGTCAGATTTACTTAGTTTGGAATGTGTTCTTTATTTTTATAGCTAAAACCAATAGATTTTTCATTTAGTCTTCTTTTTTTTTAAGTTACTCTTACAACCACTTGGAGTGTGCAGATAGCTTTTATTACACGGAAATTCTTGTGTAAACAAGGGATCAAGTTACCAACACACACTCATCGAATTACACAATCATGCTCATGCTACTCGTGTCTTTTGTTTATTTAAGTTTTTTATCTAACCTAATAAATATCTGGTTTTTACATTTTAGTTTCTGTTAAAAAACAGTGCTTATATTTGTAATGTCTTTCTCAAGCTTTTGTACTTGTACAATAGAAGTTTATGTGAAACTAGGCCTACATCTTTATAACAATAGTGTGGTCTCAGAAATAAGTTTTTTAAAAATTCTAATATGTAATTTATTTGGCTTTCTAACTAAGCTAGAATTGATTAAATAATTCACATATCTGGTCAAGCAGAGTTCCAAACTGGCAAACAAAGATAATGATCGCAAAATGTTCAAAACTGTGTATTTCAACGATTTCAGACTCCTTTGCATATATCAACTTGAAATCTTTCCTTTCCGTTGTTTAAAAATAATCCAGTAGCATATGTCAGAGAGAATTGACATTTTTTTCTAAAGGGGTTGTACTTGGAGAGGTATGGCAAGTAGCCTTCGGTTTATTACTTATATTTCTATACGTCAAGAAGCATTGTTGCTATAAATTAAAAATTTAGCCCAGAGGTATGTATAGTATAACTGAAATTCCATGGAAAATTAGGCAGTCATATAGGGGTAGAAGAAAATCTCAAATGATCAATTCGGAGAAAAGAAGTGTCATGTGATACAGACATGTCAAGATTGAGAATTTATTTTAATATTTTCTTTTGAAATTAAAAAATCAAACTTTTAAAATATTAAAATTTGTGTTATTAACTGTACCTTGATACCAAGTTTGTTGATATACATTGATAGCAAAGTTGTTTAATTAAATTTTGAATATAATTCTGTAAAAAGGCAGTGATATGCACACTTTGATCAACCCGTGTTCTAAGGATTTAACAAGCTCTTAATTTTGGAGCTATCAGTATGCTATAAGAGTGTCTTTCAACAGCCACCATTCAGCCTAATAAGAGTAAACTAAGAGTTCGTGGTGAGTGTTTTCCTTCAAGTCTATAAGTGCGAAATTTGAGATGGCTATGCACAGATCATTTTGTGGCTTTGCAAAAACTTTTGAAACTAGAAGGGCATTCAGTATAACACATACCTCCACCTCACAGCATTGTTCACATTTGGCTCTCATAAAATACGAAAATGTGCCCGTAGGTCTGTCGTTATCAAAAGACATGGACCATTTTTGGCAAGACAATGAGGACTACCATTCTACGTATGTCTGCCAAGTTTCATCAAAAAACGGATCATTTTTAACTGAGTTAAAGTGCAAAAATAGAGTGAAAAATCAGTCCCCATATTAACAGATAGGGATTTTTGTGACCTTGACCCTCCAAACACTAGTCACTTCTAAGTTGTGTCATAGTACAAATATATACCAACTTTTGTCCAAATCCAATCAGCCATTTTCAAGAAATTTTGCTAATAAACACACAAAGAAACATACACACGGGTGAAAACATAACCTCCATTCACCTTCAGTGGTGGAGGTAACAAACAGTCATTACCCTGAAAGGGGCCGAAGGCTGCCTGGAGGGTTCACTTGTTTTAACCACTTGCATCACAATACAATAGAGTGTTCTCTGTAAGTCAGTCAGTAGACACTAAAATGATGTCACATAAGGGATGCATAACATTGTAATTTGTACTGTCGTGACGTCAGTGAAACGTGTGCATGCCATGAATCATGAGAACAATTATGCACTTTGTAGGCTACAACACAGCATGAAATATGAACTTCAAAAGGAAGAAATAGAAATATTAATACATTTCTAAATTTCTAATACAGTATAATAAAAAAAGGAAGGGACTTAGGTTTCCTTATAAGTTCATATTAGTATTTATTGTGTTGTTATGATGATAACACAAAACTCACCACCTGACTATATGTATTCAACAAAGTTAGAACACTTTCAATATGTGCATGAATATCTATAATTTCAGAGTTTGAGAAAACAAAAATGTTGTTTTTTCATTACTTAGTTAATTGTATATTCCAGTTCATTGTAATATATATAAATGTAGTGCCACCAAGTTGTTAATATTACAGTACCTATTGTGCTTGTGCATATTTAATGGTAACAAATTATAAACATTTTCTTTCAGAACGTTTTGCCTTCCATTGACCACATCTATGGAATAACAAGCAAACTTGCTTTTTTCCTGGAACTATATAAACTTCCACCTTATCCCATAATGCCTCTGGTTTCTCGATTTGTGATGGATCTTAATTTACCAGGTAATCTGATATTGATGTAAGACACAAAAGGATATGAAACTAGTACTACACCCAACTAAACAGTGTTGTTTTTATAACTAACATATTCCATGACTTGCTGAATACCTCAATTGCCTTAACAAAATGTATACAATGACCGTATCAATACTTCAGTTCTTATAAAAAATCTATGGTTACTAGTAGAACAGTATAGTGTGTATTTTTCGTAACAGCTGAGTGAATCAATTTCTTTATTGAAACTGATAAATTAACTAACTAAGCACTACAGTTTTCATGTGAAAATTTATGCCATTACAACTGAGATGCTAATATAATTTTAACGAAACTTATATCATGATTACAGGAGTACTACTGATTCCATTATGAAACTATACTATGACTGCCTATTACTGCAGGGTGTCATGATTAAATGAATGCTACAAATAGCATAGAACAAGTTATATCCTGACCAACTGAATATCACAGTTTCTCTAAAAAATCCTATATTTTATGACTTGCTGAATATTACAGGTTTCATAACAAAATGGGTAAACACAACAGTACCTGTGAAAAATATATTTCTTGATGAAGTGGATGCTGCAATTTGGTAACAAGACATTGATCATAACTGCTTGAGCACTGCAAGTTCCGTAAAGCATATACTTTGATCCTCGTAATAATCCAGGTTCAAAAACAAAACTGTTACCATAATGAGATGACTACTGAAGATTCCATAACAAAATATTTTTTACCATGATCAGTTGAATATTGCAAATGTTATAATAAAACCTATTTTATGATCATCTAATACTTCAGTTTGGATAAAATACTGCCATATAGATATTTATGGAAATGGTGATTGAAAAGGACATCAAAAGCAAACACCATGAGTATGTCACCCCTATATCATTTGGAAATGAACAGCACCAGAGTAAAGTCACATGTTGGTAATTTACATTGTGTTTGGTTGTCTTCCAACCAATCGGGAAAACACCACACCAGTATAAAGACTGTAGAAGTGGAGGCAGTCGTGTTATGCCTGACAGTAGTAGTGTGATCAGTCTTGACTCCCAGGACTAAAGTAACAAATATGTAGAAATCAAGGATTTGGCTGTTCAAGCATGCTCCATTCAAAACATAGTAGCAAGACTTCCTGCTTCATTAGGATTTATATATAAGACTGAAGAGTGCACATGAAACTGGCACTAAATATTAGAAGTGGTTATGGTAGAAAACCAAAACTCTCCAAAAGTAATGTTAAGTACTTCAGGGGAATGTCCTTTACGAGATAAATTGTGGCTGAGTAAAAATATTGCTAATGAAGTTGCTGTAAATACAGGTGTGAATGTGACCTTGAGAATAGTAAGATGCACTTTAGCATGAAATGGTCTTAATAGATGTGTAGCTGCTTTAAAACTACTGGTATGAAAATGTAACCAAACCAAAAGGTTGAAATATGCATTATGCCACAAACAGTGGAATGAGAAAAGTTAGAGTTTTATGCTCTTTACTGATGAATCCAATTTTTAATTGTTTGGCAACAATGAGTGACAATTTGTTTGACAGAAGAGAGGAAAATGGTATCGTGGTCACTGTATAATATCTACAGTTAAGCATGGTAGGGGATAAGTAAATGTTTAGGGTTGAACTCGGCCGATGGAGTCGGTGATCAACACAAGATTGATGATACCCTGACTGCTGACAAGTACTTGCAGGCTCTGATTCATATTTCCATTCTCTTGGTATATGACTCATTGAGAAAGGGTTCATCTTCCAGCAAGACAGTGATCTCAAGCATATAGCAGATATGATGAAATGATATTGTGATAGTTAAAAGGGCCGGTGGAACACACACAACACTGTTAAGTTAGGGATGGCTAGCGCAGATAGCCCTCGTGAAGCTTTGCGCGAAATTCAAAACATACAAACAATCATGAATGATTAGTCTCTAAATGTCCCATCCAAAATGGCATCCACTGTTGTGACTTCCATTGTACTTTGGAAGTTGTCATGTTTTGGGTGGCTAGTTCAGTTCTCCAATTAAGTCTTGACCCTCACTAAATAATTTATTCATGTGAGTTTATTTCTCAATTCATATAGGGGATGGGCTGAGCCTTTTCCTTTATGTCTTTGAGACATGGACATTCTAACACAAAGGCTCTCATGTCTTCTTATTTTTCTGCTTTGGAGGATTTGTCTCTTGTTTTTTGGAGACTCTTCTTTCGAGTTCCTTGTTCCCTTCAGTGAACTCTGGCCAATTAGTGCAGTATATTCAGAGATCCACTGTCTTTTCTTGTTCATTAACTTTCTCCTTTTAACCTCTCCTTGTCATGGTGGTTCACTGAATCCCACATGACCCTGAGCATCCCCCCCCCCCTACTCAATGAGTTTGTTGTCATCTTCTGACTCGTCTGTTTGGTATTCTTGTCATGATCCATTCAGACACCTTATCTGTTTTCTTTCATCCACAGAAAAGGAGGAGTTTGCTCTCAAAACTTTTGTTTCCCTTGTAGACTGTTGTTGGTCTATCATGTCTCAGTAGCTAAGATCCTGGTGGCATTCCAAACTATCTTGCAGAGACTGGATTCTTTTCAAAGAATGGTCTTTCCATCTTCTGGTGTTTTCAGTGGATTTGCTCCCACTCTGAGAGTCTTTTCATTTCTGACTCGTCTCAACACCTGGTTTAAACTCTTTTGGCCTATAGTCCCAAACTGTGTGGGACTGGTAGTGAATACTCTGAATCAGGATTGATTTAGTCTCCTTTTATATTCCTATCCTCCTTTTTGACTTCTTCTCATTTATACCATTGCTGATTACAGAAAGACTTTATACACACTCTTTCATCTTTTCCCCAGCCATTTTAAGTTTCTTTCTATGGTTTACACAGACCTCTTCTAAGCCTTTTCCTTCAGTTGTTCTCCTCTTTGAGCTTTTTATCCAAAAATGGTACCTCTGTTTAGTTTCTTACGTTTCAAACCATTGGCCTCCTGTTCCTTGTGCCTTCTTTCTTTAGAAATGTATTTTCTCGTGTTTCTTTCTTGAAGGTGTTGTTTCTCTGACACTTTTGTCTCATATGCCTTCTGTATTCTTGTCATGGAAATAGAGCTTGGCAGTTAGTTGCATTTGTCAATAAGTTAATTGATGGACACATAAATTGATAATGGATTACATTTGATAAGCAATAAGTGTTCATAAAACTGTGCTACATATAAACAATAAAAAAAAAATACACTGAGTAGAGGTAAAGCAACTGACTGGCAGAACCTGCCATCAACTTTGTTTTATGTTTGTGATACCATGGTTTGAGGAACACTTTAACTCTTTCAGCATGGGCTCAGTCCCTGGGACTGACCTCATACTGATATTGTGCTTGTTATAGTTTTCATGATATAACTTTTAAATTAGTAAATTTTAAATTACTGATATTGTGCTTGTTATAGTTTTCATGATATAACTTTTAAATTAGTAAGTGTATGTTAAAGAAATTTCCAGATTATCAGTAAACATTACAATGCTTTCATATGCAAAATATCAGTTTTTTTTAAGGTTTGTTAAGCAATGTTTTTCTCGTATCTTTTTTTTTCTTTTTGCATGTTGCCTTTCCAACATGCAAAGTAATTTTCATTTTAAGATTAAAAATACTTTTGTGCATCAGAAAATTTTTAAATTTCACATGTGAAATCTTTATAATATGCAGATAGTTATGAAATGTTTCTTAAGAAAAAACTATATTTTATAGGACAACAAATTATAACACAGACATAAATGTTTAGACTAAATAGCTTAAATATCATAACATTATGCATTTATATATATTTATAACTTTTATTATAGTGACCTTTCAGTTGTGCCTAGCTAACAATACAGGTGTTACAATGACGTGGCACACATGCTCTCATATTACCATATCCAATAATATAAAACTGACTTTTAGTCTTTACAAAGTGACCAGTCTTGGCTGTGTTTTGGTAACTAGTATTTTGTAAAATACAGTCACATTTCAATTATTAAACATTATATACCTATATACAATAATACTATTTACAAATAAGTTCTTTAACTTATTTTTTTTAAAACATAGAACAGTAAATAAGGAATTATCTCTTCTAGTTACAACCTTTGTACTCATTTGGTGCTTGTCATAGGTTGCTAAGCCTTATGAATGAAAATGGCTGAGAAAGCCACTAGGGGGTTATTCTGAGCTTTTGATTGGTTATTCACATGTAATATATTGAAGTAAATGTATAGAAGGGAGCATTTCCAAAAATAGAAAGAAAGTTAAAGCAGATGCATGATGCATTACAAGATAATTTCCTTAGGAATTTTCAAATTCAAAATCCCATTTCTGCAATAAAGAGTAAATATAAGAAGGATGATAAAATGCCTTGTATGATAACACCATAATATAATCAATATAGATTTCATCATTTTGCTTTAATTAAAAAAAATTTTTTTTTTTTGGTTTTAGTAAGTTGTGCTGAGCTACATTCATCAAGATTGTCAGATAAAAAGACTGTTTAGTGTAGTTAATATTAATTTATTTATTATGTGAGTGAATACTTCATGATTGTTTAGTTTTTTTCATAACGAGAGTTAAAAGCAATTATTTCAAAGACAATAGGTATGATAAGTTTGTTAAATAACTTGGTAAAACTGCACATTGTGTTTATAATTCATTGATGTCGAGGATATAGAGATTTGTAGAAGACCTAAGTGATAGATGTATAAGTAGGGGCAAGCAGACGCAAAAAAAAAGTAGAAGAGAGTAAAGTCACAGGAAAGAAAAGTTCGGTCAGAGAAAAGTTAAGTGCAAAGTTAATCATCGTGGGAGTGAAAGGCCTAACGGTTGATACATTAAAGTGAGATTAACAATTTCATATGAGATAAGGAGAATAAGTTGTCTCATCAAAGGGTGTTCTAAAGTAATTGAACCAGCTTGGATGGATTTTGACAAAAGGCAGACAATTTTTGAAGTATAGAATACAAACTTGGTAACTCGACAACATAAGTGAACTATACACGGATAGTCTGGTAATATAAATATAAAAAAATAGTTTGGCTTGTCGACTGAATTCTAAAGCAATTGAATTGGCTTAAGTGGACTTTTGACAAGAAGAAGAGAACTACATAGTGTTTAAGATATAACTAGGACCTCTGTACTGAATATAAATACTATTTTGAAAACAAATAGAGTGCATGCTGTTTGTTTATTTTTTTAATGTATCGCCAACAATTCACAGACACCTACTCTAGAAGAATCCTTAGCCCAACACACCCATATATTTACTTACTATATATACAAACTAAAAAGTAAGTTTCTTGACAGAGATCTATTGAAATAAATGTAAATCACCGGTTCCTGGGATGACACTTCTGTTGACCATCCTAGACTCAGTACTAAAAGATGTTGGACTGACTCATGTGGCAGGTGTTAAAAGTTTCATACAAAATCAGATAAAATTCACTCAAAAGACAGTTACTGTTCTAGAAATTTAAAAGTTAACATGTGATACTTTGCTGATATGAAGATTTTTATTTTGCAGTGATGTATAAAATATTATAAATCTGTTGCATGTTTTGAGTAACTTCTGGTTATTGTCAACTGCAAAGCATATATAATATTCCATATATCATGAAGGAAAAGGTATCTCTTTTTCTCTATTAAGTGTTCAGATCAAAGTGTTGCCGATTGAAATTAGAAATGTTACACAAAGAAACTGATGTTTGTTAATGCTTGATCAAAGAGGGAATGGTTATATAATATAATGAACAGTAAACATTTATGCATTCTTTAAAATCTGAGCACTTTATTTCAAATTTTCACAGCTGAACTTGTTGACATTGTTCAAAAACTAGCTGAAAAAACTGGAGAAACATACATACAATGGGAATATCAAACTAGGAGTGCTCGTGGAAGGATCTCTCTTATATATAGCCCTGAGGGCCGAGCTATTAGTCTAATTCTTGTTGCCCTGAAGCTACTATTTGGACTAGATGGAAAAACAGAGAAGTGAGTGAGAAGAGTATTTTAATGCTTTTGCAATTAAAAAAAAACTAAATTCTCATAATTTTACTCATAATATTAAGCTGAAAAAGAGATGTTGAATATTTTTTCTAGATATAAAAAAAATTGTTTGTCTTGAAACTTATAGTTGGTTGATGTGATATCAAATTGACAAATTTTTTAAATAAATGATTTTCATTTAAAATGTGTTTTAAACAATTAAAAAAACTGCAGGTTTGTGATCTTCAGTTGACAGTACAATCTAACAAGAAAATAAAAAGTGATTCAGTTGTAGAAATAAGGATTTTATCTTGAAATACCAATATCTTATGGAGCTTTTTAAATGCTTTGGTAATTGTTGAAACAGTGATTGTGATATTAGTCATGCAGAGTCCTGTGACTGTATTAATTACTCAAAACCCCAATAAAATAATTCTTGACCTACTTTGACTTACTCTTCTTAAGGTTTTAGCATAAAATATTGTATTTATAAGGTAATTAATATTAATGTTTTTATCGTATTAACTTCAAAAATCTATTGTTTCTTGAGTCTAGTCTTTGCATAATATTACAATGCCTAAATATTTTTCATATGAGAAATATGAATGAAATCATAGAAAGTTAACTTTGAAATTAAGAAAATGTAAAATTAAAAAAATTAGGATTTTCTATTTTGTATTAAATATATATATACATAAAAACACAGAAAGCTGTCCGTCTGCCATGTCGATATCTTTGCTGTTGCAGTACCAATCGATAAAAGCACAAAACAATGATGTTTTCTGCTGCGACAAACAAGTTCATCTTTTTAAAATTACTCCAACCATATATATATAAAATGGATGATGTGCTACTTTGGGTATGTAATTAAACTTGAGGGTAGTTGGTAGAGTGATAAATTTGGATCGGGTATACATGCACTCCATTCTTGGTATTGCTGGCACACAAAAATCATACTCATTGGCTGAAATTCCTTGTTATGTTTGCTTGGTTGTCAAGAGGTCATATTGATGCAACATCACCAAATTTTGTCCAATCGGAACCCTCAGCTACAACTCTATAATAACCTGCATGTTTTACCCACAGCATATTTTAATTTTGAAAATGCCAAAATTAAAGCATGCTTCTTTAGCTCAGCAGGCTAACAAAGCCAAAACCAGGAAGACAGTCAAAAGAGAAGACCCTGAAATTCATAATAAAATTTAGTGCTTTTACCATAACAATTAATAATTTGCAGGGTTATACAGTTGACCAAGAAGTAGGAATGTCTTTGAGAATCGATTTTTTTCACATTTCAATCTATAAGGATTTATCAAGAAGCACATTTGAACATAACTTAACAATATATATATAGAAGTCAAAATGCTAATCAACCAATACTTAAAAGAGATGACCAAATATACATAAAAAATGTTTTCATGAAATACTAGAAATAGGATAGACAATCTCCATACATATATTGTTACCTGATAATAATGAATTTTTAGAAAACATGTTCATAAATGATTTCTCATCATATGATGGGCATTCAGCTTGTACACAATAAAATAAGCTGTTTATAGTTGTAACATTTATCTTTTTTGTTTGTCACTATTTTTATATTTTAGGTGAATGTAAGTAAAGAGTCTGAAATAATTTGTCATGCAATTTCAGGAATTGATAAACACTTTGATCCTAACATTAATAAGATGGTTGTTATAGTATTTTGGCACTTATGTATAAAGTTAAAATCATAAATAATATTTAACGTTAAACTGGTACACAATTTAAAAACATTTTATTTAGGCTTATCTATGGCCTTCAAAAAGTTGACGACTCTACATATTTCGACGTTACAACGTTATCCTCAGGAGTGAATTACAAGATGTCGAAACATGTAGAGTCGTCAACTTTTTTGAAG